TCAAAAAAAAAAAGTTTAAAATGTATACCTGGAAGTTTTTCAGTGAGTTCCTCAAGCTTTGCACTTACATCATGTAGAAGAGTTTCTGCCCTAGCAAACTTTGCTTTTAGAGTAACACCTGTGAACATTGAAAGGAATCAGTTTAATGTGTGCTTATGAAAGTAATCAACCACGACTTACATCTTAACACACGTCCTTATTGAAAACATGAAGAATTGCAACTTATACGACAGAAAACACAGGGTAGATAAAGCTGTCCAGCTAAAGTTCTGGTCAATAGTTGATATATCTTTTACTTTTCAGCAAAACCTACAGAAACGTGAAAGTTATGTGTTCAATAAAATTAACCATACCAAATTTGTGATACAAATGTTGGGCATAGTGAAGAAGCCCATCAGTCAAAACATCTGTCCTCTTGTGAGCACTCATTTCTTTAGTGACAGAGGAAAACCTACGCAGAAAGGACCATAACCTTTCCACCCCTTCACCATCTGTCAATCCAGTTCCCTTGATCCTTCTTGGACTGTATTGGATCTGCAGACAATCACATTGAAGATAAATCTAAGAATCAATATGGCATGGACCTTGCTTGAGATAGTTAGCCAATACATGTACTAGCCTGCAGTGCAGGCAGATTTTAGCAGTGTGAATGAATATTTACAAATCGAGTGTTCAAAGCACCATCTTGAATTAGGAAAACAGTGGAGAGTTAGAGCAAAAGTATGTTTACCAAGCCAGTAGACGTGAGACCTCTTCCCGTATTGCATTCTCGCCCCAACTTTCCAGTAAAACAAACACTCAAAAGATAACAACCACTAAAACCACCTACACTGCATGCTATATACTCAAAAATTTAATTTTCAATTTAGGTAAAATTAACGTCGAGTAAAGGCTCACTGGCCGGTGGTCTTTTCCGAAGCTGATAGGTTTAAGTAGGGTGGCCACTCTTTTATAAGGAACAAGTACATGTGCTTAAATATTTTACTTCGCTTGCTAAGCTGACACTTGGAGATCATTTGCTTTTGATTTTGGAAACTGCTGTCAGATTTCTGATCCCACACTGCTCACCCATTGGTAAGCGTGGGATGTTTATTATAGTTACCAACTGTATTTAACCGATGTCGTGGTATTGCCACACATTTCTTCACATTGTCACCAGGCCATTTACCTTTAAACTGATATATACTAACCTGGCATGATGCCTTGTGCCCATAGCAATGGAATATGGGTATGGCAACATCAACACCTTCCAAGAGGCTTTCCTGAGATGAACACTAACAAATATAATCATGTAAATGAAAATTGTGTCAGTAGTAACAAACTATTCTGAGGTTAAGATGTGATCCTCACAGATATTCATGCAATTTAAATGTAAGCAATAATGGGAATTTAACCAAACACAAAGAAGAAACGAATCTGGCCCCGTTGGTATTTCAGCCCATGACATTGTCATTACAATGCTCTAGCTACCCACTTAGCTATGAACCCCCATATGTTGGGAGCAAGCCAGTACCCATCAGAGGAAGTGATGAAACAGGCAATGGACTTGTGTGAGCTGCAAAAATGAAGTTTTATTTGATTGAGCCAACTGCTCAAAATTCAGTTAATAACTCTGATGATTACATGTTCATTTCATTTCCACAATTCACATAATTCCACACTGTTCCAATAAATTATTTTATTTCATCCCAAATTTAATAGAAAATACTTTGGACAGTTCTACAAAATTAAATACCACTTTAGAATTACCATTTAGCCTCCTGCACAGTCATGTTCAAAAAATTTACTTACCTTCAAATGGTGTGCTAATAGACAAGCGATGTCATACATGATGATTACTCTGCTTCTGGTGCTCTCATTAAGACTTCTAAGNGAAATTAGTGAACTAATCAATAATCAATCAAAAAATGAGCCTTCTGGCTAATGTCCTTTACAAATGATTTGCATTCTTCTCTGCGTTCTTACTGTTATACGTATATTATTATGAAGTTTTCGTACTTAAGCCTATAACCTTAAGAAGTTTTTGTATTCTTACTCAACTTTATTCAAATAAAAATCTATCAAATATGATATATTTACTATTTGCTTACGCAATAATCTCTAAAGCAGCGTAATTAACTTAAGCAATGTTTGTTTGCAAAAAACCCTTTTAGGTAATTTTCTAAAAACCAACTTATCGATTCTTAGAACATCATTCATATCTGAAAACGAGAACGGGTGCGTAGCAAACAAAAAAGCACTTTTCTAGAGAAGACATTTCCGGTTAGAAAGGCTGTTTTTATGGAAGTTCGTCGGTGAAATCTTTGGCATAAACGGAGTGTAACTTCATTTTATTCAAACTCTTTATTTCATTTATCATATTTATTCATGTTTTAAAAAGGGCTTCTAGCAAACTGATTGTTTGGCATCGACGGGAGTAAGTTATAATCAGGACTTTAAAAGGCTTTCGAAAAGGTTGCTTTTGAAAATTCCATTGATAGTGTAAACGATGATTTTGTTTTGTTAGTTTTTGTTTCTTCCTGTAAGTACCCTTGAACAACAGTTAGTTTCGTTTGACGGACATTAAGCGGTAAGTATGAATTAATTTTTTATATATTTATCTAGCATTGTGCGAATGACTGGATGCATTGGCTGTCTCTAAAGGCGGCGCACCTCAGCTTCAGCATCATGTATAGGAGTATCGTTCACTTTTACTGAAATGGAAACCAAGATAATTTACCGTCAATTGTTTCGTTCTTAGACCACGAAAATGTTGCTGATTTCACGTTGTTGTTTTAGAGAGGGCTAAAAAGTGTACAAAGTTAAAATGTTCTCACTAAGCCATTGTTCTGTGCATCATATCTTTTTTTGGCCATTTCTTCGTCGGCGTCGACGTTGCGGTTTCGTTAAGGTCCTAAATCACAACGAAAGGAGAAGATTGTTTTATGTGGCTGTATGTCGCTTTCCTGAAATAAACAGGGTTTACGAGCAAACAACGTAATCATTTAAGCATAAAGAGAAATCGATCGAGAAAGGTTAATGTACACTGAATAATTAACCGAAAAAGTGAAAGATTAAAGATTGCATGACTGAATATGGGAGAGCAAGTATGGATACCTTAGGAAGTTTCACAACCGTTGGGGCCAAATGATTTTCTCGCCTTTCCTCACAAAGTCCCAGCGAGTTGACAAATATTTGCAGCAGTGAAATTCACTGATACATTCTCCGTCATCAGGTGTCATCATGTTGCTGAGTGGAGCAAGATGGCCCTTACTCTGCTACTGCTCATTGTTGTAAGTCCAATATTCTTGGATTCCACTTCCCAGCGTAACAACGCTAAAGGAGAAGTGTCGATCTTGGGTATGATGCTACAACGACACATCTTCAAAAAGATCACAAAAGCAGCATTCGGTGTTGTGTGCTTACGGGAATGTTACCGGGACATCAGATGCCAAAGTTTTAACTATGTCTTTACCGAAGACATTCGCAAGTTAAGGAACAATACCATGGAAGCCCAACCAGAGGATTTCGTTCCAAACTCTGAAAGATATTACTTTAAAAAAAGAAAATTTAAGAATCAAGAATAGTGTGATATAAGAAACTGAGAAAGAGTTCGCTGAGTTTTAGTGCCTCTCGGGTCCATTCCAGAACTTCCGGCAGAAACGTGTAAAAAGATAAAGTCAAGTGAAGGAGGGAAAGCAGTCAGTGCGAGATACTGGTTTTTCTCCATCATACCTGAAAAGATTGTTTTCGCTTACTGTGATATGAAAACAGAAGGTATTAGTATGAAAATATGATGTCCAGATTTAATTTACCTTTATCTTGGCAGAGCAAGTACAATTTAATACTCTGTAAAAAACTTGGCAATCACATTAGACAGGGGCCATACTTTCCCCCTTTTTTCCCCTAAATCATTTTCAGTTTTAAATGTAAACTTTTCTCTGGAAATGGGGAAATAAAAAGGTACGAGCTCACTGTCACGAAAAAGAATAAGCAAAATGTTTATGGAAGGGGAGGTTTGAATCCTATTGTTACAACGAATATTAACATCCATTCCACAAAGAGAACTTAGATTTATTCATATCAGGCCCCAATTTAACGTTCAATCAGGCTTAACGTTTGAAATGTCAGCTCAGAAACTCTTTGCAATAGCTGGTTGACATTTTCAGTTAAGGCTTTGGAGTTATTTTCAGTAAAAAGTATCAATCGGAGCCTAACTTTTGGCTCTTTGATTTTTTTGGAGATGTTGAGGAATGCAGTTCTTCCATTCCCGCCTGTGATTCAAATGCCAACTGTCAGAATACTAACGGCTAATAATGTTGTCAGTGTGTGGCTTGGTTCTCTGGTGACGAGAAATCTTGCACCGATAAGATTGTTTTAGCAGATATGTTGGCCAAGCAGTGAACCCAGAGGTTTCGGCCTAATGTTGTCAGTGTGTAATGTTTTTGGGCTAGACACATAACTCTACGGTAAGAGAGTAAAGGGCAGTAAAAATCAGCAATCGGAGCTCTACTTTCGACGACATTATCTATCTGCAGATGTTGACGAATGCAGTTCTTCCATATCCGTCCATGACCTAAATGCTGATAGTGAGAATACTGAGGGCTCATTTCGTTTTCAGTGTGTAACTGGATTCTCCGGTGACGGGAAATCCTGCACTGGTAAGTTTGAACAGAATGGCCAAGTGAGCGACGTATAGGTTTTGGGCCTTAGTCCTATCACTGTGCTATGTTTTTGGGCTAGACACTCTTTACTACGTTTCTCCGGTTAGAAAAAAATAATGGTCATTAGGAGAGTAAATAAAGGCTGAAAGTTTCTAAAGAAACTGTGGTGCTGCGTCGGTGGGGTTAACGAAGGTAATTGGTTATATCAAATAAGTTGAAATTGTTAATTGGCCACCGTAACGAATAAAAAAGCTGACGTTTCAAGCGTTAGCCCTTCGTCAGAGCGAATGGAGGAATTGTGGGTTGTATGTGGTTTCATATGCAGAAAGCGGAGCTACGCTATTGCTGGAAACATGGTAACGAGAAAAACACGAATAAATTAATGAAATGAAAAGCGTTCCTTGATACTTGTCTGTTTAAGCGTGCCAATTTCAAAGGTTAACTTTTGTTGAAGAGTTTTGCGGCTTTCCATGTTGCCTAAATGTAAGGAAAGACCGCAGATTGCCATATGTTGTTTAGAATGACTAGGTAAATTAAAGTGTCTCGCGACTGGTTTAGATGCGTCCTTGTCGTTCCTTTCCACGTCGCGAAGGTGTTCTCGGAATCGGTCACCCAGTTGTCTTCCCGTTGCGTCGATGAGACAGCTTTGTCTCACAGTTTTCTTTGACCAAAAAATTTATCTTTTACTCGTGCATCACATTATTTACATGTATTTTCATTTTACAGCCACTATCCGTTTAAGGGGTGATGCAGGAGACTACAGACGCATAGAAGTTTATCACAGTGGGATGTGGGGCACGGTGTATGATGATCATTGGACAATAACTGAAGCCAATATAGTTTGTTGTCAGATTGGCTTTTTTAATGCATCACAGGCAATTTGTTGGGCTAAGTACGATCAGGGGTCTCATCCAACTGCCAAGGAGGAGAAGCGATGTTGTCTCATTGTATGTTCATTGGTTGGGGAAGCCATAACTGTCACCATGGTGAGGATGCTTGTGTGGTTTGTAACAAATAAATTGGTCGCAAATTTTCTCGTGATATTGCAATGCGCTACCTAACCGCAGCATGCTTACATTAGGGAGTTTAAGCAAATCGCTACGGCTGGCGCTGCTACGGCTACCGGAAGTAAAATTGTCCAGAAACGAGTCATTGCGCATGTCAGTGGTTCCCAGCCAGCCGTAGCGGGAAATCCTTCTACGCGAGTGGGAAGGTTTCGGCGTAGTCTGTGGTACGTGAACTTATCTCGCTTCTTTCTTCGCTTTATACATTCTCCTGAGCAATTTTAGCTATTGAAATACACTTAACATCTTTAAAAATAGCTTATCGGGAATATTTATCAAGCTTGCTGTCCCTTACCGAGTGAATCTGCCTTTATTTTTGCCGCCGGGTTTGTCGAAGGATCGAAGCAGTGTGCACATGGAGAACGCAGCGAACGCAAAGTGAAATGCGTAGGTAGAAAGTCTAACTTTTCCTTTTCAAACCTCAAAGACTACTTGAAATTCAAATAGCTGAAGCCAAAGAATGACGAGGGTTATGAGGGACCGTGTAGAAACTTTGCTTTGGTGTTTATAAGCTCCAAACTGGCAATTTTACAACACGTAAGCTCAAATATTTTAATTCATTCATTCACTGTGCACAGGATCGCTTACAATTTTTTTTTCCAAACGTTGGAATCCCTCGTCCCTTTCAACGAAGTCATTCTGAGTTTTTAGACGTGCAATAAACTACCGCGAAGACGCTTAATTTATTGGTTTTACAGTTCTCAGCCGTACTAGGTTTGTAGTTCGCGTTGCTTAAAGTTGGATTTTGGCGGGCTACGGCGACGTACTCTCCCCAAGCCTCGTCAACCACGATAGCCGTAGCAGCGCCAGCCGTAGTGATTTGCTTAAACTCCCTATTGACAGCATGGCAGCTGTAAGTTTTTGGGCGGAGCACCATCAAACTACAATGTAGTATCAGATATTATTGTTAAAAAGGCGAATAAAGAGAGAACTTAGTTTAGTTTAGTGTATGATTTCGTCACAGAAAAATGTAACATGACATAAAAATCAATCTGAAGTAAGTGGTGTGAAGTAATAAAAAAAACACAGCTACAGTAAAAATAAATAGACGCATGACAAATAAATAGGAAGAGTTTATAATCTCTAGTAGAGAGCCACGTTTTATCAGTTTTGATCCTGGAGGAGTATAAGTCACTAGTAGTTTGGCGGGTTTTTAAGG